TTTGATCCTTCTCCTTAAGGAAACTATAATTTTTCGTCCTCTAAAACCAACGGCGTTAAAAATCAGCTGAGGTGACTAACGATGGTGTGCCACGTCATTTTTTCTTTTTCTGACACTCTTTCTCTACTTCTTTGTCTCCCTCTTTCTCCATCTCTTTCCTTGCATTTTCACACCCAGCTTCTCTCCCTCTTTCTCCCACACTTCCATTCGCCGCTGTATCACAAAACTCTTCCATCAATCTGCCCCTCTGACGTTAGCTCCGAAGCGGTAACGCTGTCCGAGTGTCCGTCTAGGAGAGATCAGCGACCAACGCACTGCCTTACACGGCCACGACTCGCATACACGCCGCCCGAGCATGCCGCCATGGAGCTGGCGGACTCCGAAGGAATCTTCAAGAACTTCGAAGGCGCGCTCCGTCATGAAGCTCGCGAACGACAGCGAAGAGTTTGGAAGCACCAACAATTATAGGGGAAAGGAAAAGCGAGGAGGACCAACAGTGAAGCGATTGAGATCAAACTAGACTCCACAAGCAACGATGGACGAGAACGGTGAGGAAGAAGGTTATAGGGATTTCGAACATGAACTTGAACAAGATCAGAGTCCAGTGCACTCGGTGGAAGATAATGGTGTGGATTATTGGCATGAGGATCGGAGCGAGGATCCTAGAGTTAGGGTTTCGAATAACGACGGTGTTGAATCAAAATCGCAGGAACGGAGGAAGAGTAACAGAGTTAGGTCTTGGCTTTTCGAGTTAGGTCTGAGTAAGTATGCACCTATGTTTGAGATCCACGAGGACGATGATGAGTTGCTTCCTATGTTGACATTGGAGGATCTCAAAGATATGGGGATCAATGTTGTCGGGTCCAAAAGGAAAATGTACAATGCAATCCAGAAGCTAAGGAAGTGCTTTCCGTGATGGTGGTGTAATGGGATAAAGATGAGTTAATGTATGTTGTACTATATTAGATGTATGCTGTAGCTTTTCCATAGTTTTTTCTTCCTTTGTTCTGGTTTAATTAAGTTTGGATGAAAATGCAGTGTGTATAGAAATTTTTGTTTTATCTATGTGAATGAACAATAGGTGGGTTATGATTCTTATTGTCCTTTTCCTTTGTGGAAACTTCTTTGTCTGCCCTGTTTTTCTTCCCATTTTCTATGTGAGTTTTGTGATACGAGCGATGAAAGAGTGGAAAAGGAGGGAGAGAAGCTGGACGTGAAGATGCAAGGAAAGACATGGAGAAAGAGGGAGACAGAGAAGCAGAGAAAGAGTGTCATAAAAAGAAAAAATGACATGGCACACCATCGTTAGTCACCTCAGCTGATTTTTAACGCCATTGATTTTGGAGGACTAAAAATTATAGTTTCCTTAAGGAGAAGGATCAAATTGTATCAAAGTTTGAAAGAGGGACGAAAAATAAAATCTCTTGATAGTCGAGGGACTAAAAATATATTTAACCTTAATTTAATTTATAGATTATATTTTTTTTTCATATTTAAAACTCAACCAACTTTTAATTTTATAATAATTATATATTTGATAATAAAGTGTAAAACATAATTTTATATAAGTGTCAAATATCGTTAAACATAAGTGTTTCCTTAGTTGTAACAGGCCAAGACATGATATGTCGTTGTAAATGTAAGTTTATAACTTCATTTGATGAAACAAACTCAAGTGCCTTCATTGTTACTCTTTATTAACCTCCTTGTTTATATGCTTTATATGATAAGTTTTACCTTATTTGTGTTTTATGCAGGTCACATACGTGTTTTTCCGGTCACATGATTATAGTGTGATCACATGATATATATTGTTGTTAACTTACCACCTACCTCGTCTATTTACTTACTCCCCTGCATTGAGTCTAATCGTATAATTTATAATATTTGTTGACTCTTTTCAATCTTAACCAAATTTTAAACTACTTCTTAACCTCTTAAATAATCACTCAGATAAAAAGCCCAACCAAAAATATTTGAGAAATTACCATTTTTGCATCTTCTGCATTTATGCTAACATTTTTGTAGGCCTGTCTTCTTCCATATCTTACTCATTTCTTATTTCCTTTCTTAACCTAAATGTTCACCAAAATTTGTATAATTTTTTTTTACTTTGGTCCCATTTTAATTGAACCATGACTATGCTTAGCATCCAAGGTTGATTGTTGGATATATAGGCTATGAAGAGGCCTCTTAAACAAAATCACAATTCTCTAGTGCTAAAGAAATTTTTTTATATCCATTAAATACTTTCTATACTAGTTCTCCTAGAAACCAGTTTAGGAAGTAAGGGGACATAAAAAAGTTTTTCACTTTTCTATATCGTTTCAGAATTAGTATAAAAAATATTACTTTCTATACTTGTTCTAACCACAACCTGTATAAAAAAAAGTGTCACCTTATTTGTATTCTCACATTCTCCATTCCAAGATAATCCATTAACTCACTTCTAACATTCATCTCCAAATTAATCAATAAAAAACAATGTATTTGAGAGATTCCCAAAATAATCCACAAAAGCAATCTATTTGACATTTGAGAAGATGAATAAGAAGTCATCACCATTATAACAAGTTTATACTTTTATATTTAGCCTTTAAATAACTCACTTGGTTTTACATACACATGGATGAAACACAAAAGAAATAACTAACTGATGAAACCACATAGAACAATTTTGTTTTCTTATTTTATTTCAAAACAAAAACAGAAAGAAAAAGGAAAAAATTTGGTCTAGTGTTTGGCATCATATTGATTGATGAGAGAGAATGCATTATTGGTGACCTAAGAAACATTTTGCATCTTTGATCTTCTCATTCAGCACCTTCCAAACAAAGTCGTCACTACATGTACTCTCATCGGTGAGCAGAGAGCTCACCCAGGTCCTCCCACAAGTCTGAAATCCTGTCCATTCACCTTACCTAGTGACTACGATAAGATACACTCCATTGTAGATTTCCACCGCACAATATATCAAGATGGCGTCCCGTGGATGGTTATTGATTAAGTACCCTATATGAAATTATTTTGAGATGAATTTGCACTTATCTACTTAAGATTTTTGTTAGTTTATACGTAAACCATCCCAATTTAACTTGTTTTGCAGTTCTTGATATTAAGAGAGAATCAAAGTGGAAAAATTATAGAAATGGAAGAAATCCCAGCAACTTTGGACAAAACTTGATACTAGTGTACCTAAGCAACAAAGTTGAGGCTTAAGCCACACAAGAAAACCCTCATGAGGAGGAAACCTCAAGCACTGAACCTGAGGTTAAGCCATGAATACTCATTCTTAAAGAAGTTATCTTAGGGACTACAACATCAAAGCATGAGGCTTGAGCCACATAAGAAAACCTACCTTTAGGGGGAAACCTTTACAGCTGGAAGCACAAGTACACTATTGAAGTCATGCCTAGACAGTTTATAAAAACATAGTTGCACCTCTATTTTGAGAGAATTTTTGGAGAGGTTCTTTTGAGAGATTTTTATAGAGCTTCTTAGACACTTACCTCTTTACTTAGTGAACATTATTAGAGGTCATAATAGAGGATGGTTGTTCAATATTTTGTATTGTTCTCATCTATTATGAGGAGCTAAATCTCACTATGTGTTGAAGCAAAGATGTAACCCTCTAGAACTCTTGTATTGGTATTGTTTTATCTAACAATGTACACTTTTATTACATGTTTTTGAATCAGTTTATATCTATTGTTGGATGAACTGATCACCCATCTTATTTCACTTGCTTAGGATTGAGTAGGAACTTGTCTCAAGTTGTGGTCCAACAAATTCTCCTCCTTCTCTTATGTGCTAGGAATAAATCTAAGACTCTAGCTAGTTATAAGTCATTATCTTAATGCAAGTGATTCATTCAAGCAATCATTGAGGAATAATACTGAAGTAAGGTTATCTTAGGCTTTAGGATCTAGGAATGAACTTAAAGTTATATTCAAAGAGAACTCTCAGAACATGATTAATTGCATCTTTATAAATAATAACTGAATCATTACAAGAGATGTACAAAGTGGTGAAATCTAGCTTTAACATGTCTTTATCATCTTGAAGTCAACCTTTTCAATCAAAATTGTTTTTGTAACTTGTTACTCTTTGAAACCAACTTTATTTCCTTACAAGTTAAACTACTTTAAAACATTGCATATTTTACCAAATCCTTGTGGATATGACACTTGTTGTACTACAAACTACCCAATATACTTATTAGAAAAATTGATTACTTTGGAACATCAACAGTGTCAAAGACTTTCATGGATGGCGACTTCGTATACTGAGAGCTACTCCACACAGAGAGCGAGGTATTGGGTGGTGTTACACAAGGGATTTATGAAGTTAGTTAGGTTTGAGGCGTTGAAGCAACTCTTGAGAGTGTATATGTGAAGCCAAAAGTTTGCCAAAATGGTTGAGAAAAAGTTAGGGTTTAGGGGTTGAAGTTAGAAAGAACGTTGAAATTGGGTTTGAAAAGGAAAGTTATAGAAAATACTTTCTATACTAATTACACTTAGAACCGGTATAGAAAATTTTCAATTTATTATATAATTGCCAACGCACCACTTTCTATAACGGTTATTAGTCCAATTGGTACAAAAGATTTCACATTATATACAAAATTGCCACCACCTCACTTTTTATATTTGGTGGATTAGAACCAATATAATATGTTGCTATAAAAAACATATTTTGCACTAGTGATTGCCAAATAAATGAAATTCCTTTAAGTAAGATTCCTATTAGCTACAAATGAGTTTACAAAATAAAATTTTATGGTGATGGTAACATAAAAATACATAAAGCTAAATTGTTTGCTAGCAGGGTTGATTACCTTGATACATTATCTCCTAAAGCAAAAACTAACTACTCTAAGAGTTTTTCTTATCTTAGTTGTGACTAAATGTTCCTTAAGCAATTGAATGTAAAATAATGTTTCCTTTAATTAATTTGACTTNCTTTGAAACCAACTTTATTTCCTTACAAGTTAAACTACTTTAAAACATTGCATATTTTACCAAATCCTTGTGGATATGACACTTGTTGTACTACAAACTACCCAATATACTTATTAGAAAAATTGATTACTTTGGAACATCAACAGTGTCAAAGACTTTCATGGATGGCGACTTCGTATACTGAGAGCTACTCCACACAGAGAGCGAGGTATTGGGTGGTGTTACACAAGGGATTTATGAAGTTAGTTAGGTTTGAGGCGTTGAAGCAACTCTTGAGAGTGTATATGTGAAGCCAAAAGTTTGCCAAAATGGTTGAGAAAAAGTTAGGGTTTAGGGGTTGAAGTTAGAAAGAACGTTGAAATTGGGTTTGAAAAGGAAAGTTATAGAAAATACTTTCTATACTAATTACACTTAGAACCGGTATAGAAAATTTTCAATTTATTATATAATTGCCAACGCACCACTTTCTATAACGGTTATTAGTCCAATTGGTACAAAAGATTTCACATTATATACAAAATTGCCACCACCTCACTTTTTATATTTGGTGGATTAGAACCAATATAATATGTTGCTATAAAAAACATATTTTGCACTAGTGATTGCCAAATAAATGAAATTCCTTTAAGTAAGATTCCTATTAGCTACAAATGAGTTTACAAAATAAAATTTTATGGTGATGGTAACATAAAAATACATAAAGCTAAATTGTTTGCTAGCAGGGTTGACTACCTTGATACATTATCTCCTAAAGCAAAAACTAACTACTCTAAGAGTTTTTCTTATCTTAGTTCTGACTAAATGTTCCTTAAACAATTGAATGTAAAATAATGTTTCCTTTAACTAATTTGACTTTGTCATTACATTGATAAATCGTTATATGACTTAAAATAGACGAATATATAATGGTGTGAAAAGGTTACTATAGCCATATTAGTTATCGACTTTAATTTGTCTACATCAAATCATTCTCTCTTTTTTG